GGATTGATAGTTTAACCGCTTGAAGCTTTATGGGTTATACTCTAGTCATATTGATTAGAAACGAGCCACTCTTGAATGGATGGATTTGAATAAAGATATTTTGTTAGGTTAAACATTAAAATTTGATCCAAATAGGCACATATTGTTATTCAAATATGAGTAATCTAACAATATGTAAAGAAAATGGTGTTTAAGGGTAGTTAAGTAAATTTCTAATTTATTCCCCATATAATTCCCAATTCATACCAAACAAAGGACGGAAAAAACTTGCGTGGACCTAGTCCACAATAAAATTATTGTAGACCTGAAGTTTATACGTACGAAATCGGCGTTATATTGAACATAGTGACCCTTATGTCAAACATAGCGACCCTAATTTTAACATAGTGACCTTTATTATTCATATTGATCAATATATAAAAAAAATCATTTGGAAAAAAAAAAAAAAAAAAAAAAAAAAAAAAAAAAAAAAAACTCTTATAGCCTTTATAATACCATGATTTTTATTTCAGCATAATAACCTTTGTTTTAACATAGGACTTTTTTTATATTAATAAAACAACCATAGTGTGTACAGTGTTAGTATTCCACGTACAATAAATTAGTGTGAATTCATTTACGAATTTGTAATGAAGGACAACAAATTTTTTTTATCTTTATCCTGCCTACTAATCCTCTATCTTTATCCAGCCTTTTTATCCTCCTTATTCCTGCCCTTCATACCAAACGTTCGTATACAATGTAGTATAGAACTGTAAATGCAAGAAGACTCAAATAATACCAAGCTAAGTTTGGCTAGAAGAAATGACAATTTGTGGCATAGGATTCCCTTAACTCTCACTCCCAAATTTGTCTAACCCGCTAATTCGGGGCCGGATTGACCCCTAAATCGTTCCAGCCCAGTAGGGCTCATCATCATACCTTAAAAAAACCCAAGGATTTTAGTTTCTTTTAGGTATTTAAAACTATTAATAGTGCTATCATTTAATATTATTAGTTTAAGTCATGTGCAATGCACGGTTGTTAATCTTGTTATTAAATTTTCTAAAGAGTTGTTTTGAATTTTATAAAAAATTATACTATACCCGTAATACTAATTCAAAAATAAATATAAATTAAATTTTATACTTTTACCAATGTCAAGATTTTTGACACTTAAACTTGATTTAAAAAAAAAGGTCTTTGAGGTTTTATTTTAGAAAAATTAAATTTATGACTTTTAAGAGTAGAAAATAAAGTGTATATATGTGTGTCTTAACAAAATGATTTCATTTTTAATTGAATTAAACACTATTGCAAATGTAACAAAATTGGAAGAAAAAAAAGTTGATAGTATTATCGAAAACTAAGATAATACATATTTAATACGGAGTAATGTTTACCTAATATATGCACAATTTTTTACAAAAAAAAAAAAAAATACTTAATATAAAATACTACATATATGTAATAATATATTAGTTGAGTTTATATGCAGAATTATTATTGTTAAGAATTGAAAGATATTTTGGATTCATAAGGAGCCAACAGTTTCTCCAGTTCTTGTAGCGCTACTGCCATCTTACCAGTCTCGGAATGTATATTGGATATGCATGGAGCCATGACACCGAGACAATCCTGGAAAATGTTTAGCTCGCGTGAATCATTAATTACACACCAAAAACATTTTCTATTACATGAAACAAATTATACAAAATCATTTACGTAAGATAAATTAACAAATTACGTGAAATTATAATATTATAATCTCACGTAATTTGTTAATTTATCTTACGTAAATGAGTTTGTATAATTTGTTTCATGTAATATAAAATGTTTTTGGTGTATAATGATCCATGCGAGCGGAACATTTTTCAGGATGTAAAATTGCGTTTTGGGTGAAAATTATGAAAAGGACAAAAATGTCAAAAAACTAAAATTTTTAATAAAGTCTTTTTTGGGCCATGGTTTGACCCACCAGGCACAAGGCCAAGTCCGCCCTATTACAGACTATACAATAGAATTCGATTTGAGTGTATTGAGCTAAAAGTTGTACAATTGATACTATATACACAGAAACATGAATCATAATGAGTGTAACGTTCGAAAGACATATATATTTTCTATTTAGACCTCTGTTGAGAAGTCATAAGGAGCCAACAGTTTCTCCAGTTCTTGTAGCGCTACTGCCATCTTACCAGTCTCGGAATGTATATTGGATATGCATGGAGCCATGACACCGAGACAATCCTGGAAAATGTTCAGCTCGCGTGAATCATTAATTACACACCAAAAACATTTTCTATTACATGAAACAAATTATACAAAATATTATAAAATAATTTCCTTAAAGAATCTGCGAAAAATAAGAAAGTGAAATGGGCGGGAAAATTTTAATCAAAAGATGACATGTGTCATTTCTGGTTTCGCCTTTTAGTATAAAGTTAGTTATTGATTTTTTTTTTTTTTTTTTTTTTTTTTTTTATTTTTAGTAGTATTTGGAAACAAAAGGAATTGTATGGGAATACTATTTTGCCATGACACATATGGTATGACCAGTGGCGGACTTGGGCTTAGACCTGGTGGGTCAAGTGACTCACCAGGCCCAAAAATTTTTTTAAGTTATTTTAAAATAAAAAAAAAAATAAAATTAAAATCGGTTTTCCCCAAAAAACCAAACACGAATTCAGTTCAAGACTTCAAGCCCTAGCCTTCTTCTCTTCGCGACTTCGCCTCATCTCCATTCTTCAGTTCGCCTCTTCGCTTCGTCCCAGCCAGGCAGCCACCGTTCTCTTCGCCTAATCGCCTGGTGGTCGGACGTCGGTGGTCGTGGACTCCGTCCTCTTCGTGGCTTCTCGCATAGTCGCATAATCCAACATTCGAATCTCTACTACTTCTTCCCTCTCACTTTCTCTCTCCTTACATTTCAGCAGCTATGGTGCAAGGCTGGAAATGGAGCAGGAGAAGGTCTCACTTACCTCTTATTTCTCTTATCTTTATGCTTTTAATTACTGTTACTGTTCTTTTCAACGAGTTCAGAATTCACGAGTATCAACCCCAAGATCATAACCCTCATCTTCAAAATACCCAGAATTCATCTCCAGGTTTGTTGTGTATAATCACTAATTTTCTTCAATTTCTTGCTTTTTTAGTGGTGAATTTTTGTGGGTTTGTTGAAATTCTGTGTTTTGAGTGATGGGTTTGTTGAATTTGTTAAAATGGTGGCTGAATTTTGGTGGGTTTCTTGTGTTTTGTAGTGTTGGATAACTTGTGTTTGTGTTTATGTTTTGCCCTAAAGGTGAATTTTTCTGAATTGGGTGTTGCAGTTGCGTTGGATGGATTCACTACATGTAGCTCTACTGTAGAGTACAATGGAGGAGAAGTGGGGTGGTTGTATTTTGTACTGTTTGAATATTTGGATGTATTTTTTAGTACTATTATTTGGTTGTTTGGTAAAATTTTTTTTTTTACATATTTGATTATCGATTGTGACTCACCAGTCGGAAAATCCTGGGTCCGCCACTGGGTATGACCACATTTGTTTATACTCGTAAGAGTTACTCTATATTAAGTTAGTCCATATGCCACGCACAATAAAAAATAAAAAATAAATTGTTTGAGAATACTAAAGACAAAATTCTACATATATGATAAAATAAAATATGAAATATCACACCAACTTGATAGTCTTCATTTTAAATGTTAGTCTTCATTACAGACTTTGCAGTGTATAAGTTGATATTTCATATAACATAAAAATATGAAATATTAGCTTATACTCTGTAATTGGAAAGGGTAATATTAGAATTTATCATAAGAAGATAGACAGAATATGTTATTAAAAAATTAATTTATACACTAGATTGATTCATTATCGATGACATATTATGTTAGATATTTACTCCCTGCGTTTTTAAATACTTGTTCTATTTTTTATTTTCTACCATTTTTAAATACCTGTTCCATTTCCTTATTTGGAAAGTTTTTACAATATTTAATTCATTTTTTTCAACTAGTGAACCCAACATAAATCATACTTTATTAATTTCATATTTTCTCTCCTCTAATTCTCTCAACTACTTTTGCTTTTTTATAAATTTTTATTCTTCTACCTACGCCACTACCTCTATATTTTATTACTTTCTTCAATTTCTCCTAAAATTCCGCGCATGGAGAAATGGAACAAATATTTAAAAACAGATGGAGTATTTATTTATTTTTTAAATAAGAAGAGTAATAGCATATCAATAATTTCCTAAATTAATATTCCCAAAAAGATTTATTAAAGAAAATAATAATAATTATTAGGCAAAAGATAACGAGCGCCCCCAGGGCGTTAGATAAAAGAACTATTTTGGAAATATCATAGTGAAATTAACATTAAATTACACCGATGGAATCGTGAGTTCGTCATGCATTCCGAATTTAATACTATTGTAAGTAATATGTTAATCCCTTATCTAACGCCCTGGGGCGCTTGTTACCAAGATCCAATTTATTAAATAGCTAATGTGTATTTTAATATTTATTCACTCATTTTATTAAATTAATCAAACTCCTAACGAATGAACGCGTGTACTGGTAATATACTCGTACAAATTACAACAAATTCAAAGTTACGAGCTTGTACTCCCTTCGTTCTATAATTAATGACACACTTTGATTTTCAGTTGTTCATATATCAACAAGTTCTGTCAAAAAAAAAAAAAAAAATACAAGTTAGACTAAATTTTTTACTAATGCATTAAAATAAATGTTATTATGATTATGTAAAATATTTTTTGTTTCTTTGATAGACATGTAAAATATTATTAGATAGGTATTAAAATAGTTTTTTTATTAAATCAATTCTATTTATACAGAGTAACTTTAATTAACATATAATTTTATACTGTATCAGTAATCAAATCAACACATTAACAAATATGCCAAACTTGACCAAATTAATTAATTTTTTTTTCCGGAACAAATCAATTCATTAATAAAAAACAATTAGATACATGCATTATGTATGCCGAGGAATGATTCATTGAGTCAGAAAACCGATGAATAGGACAAGTATTGCATTTATTTAGGAACGGAGAAATACATAAACATAATTATAAGAATAATCAGAAAACCTCCTCCCTCTCTCTCTTTTTCTCTCTCACTCTCTCAGTCTACCATTGAAGCGCGCACTCCACGTTCTCCATTGAAGCGACTTCTGGCATTTCTCCATTGAAGCATTTTCGGAGGTAATTTGTTGTTTCTCTTTGTAATCATCGAATATCAATTTCACAATCTAGGGTTTACCGTTGACATTATTCTCAGTATAGTGGTTATTCTAAAGTCGATTATTGAACTTTTGGTTATAATTATCAAGGTTATGAAAGATCATTTTGTTGGTAGAGAAGAATATCATGTGATTTTTTGAGTCTAATTTGATACTTGAATCAAATTTGCATTTAATGTTAGGTTGGAACTGTGAAATTGGAGCATTTTTCCCTGAAATTATGTGATTTTTCGAATCAAATTTGGTTGATAATGTGTTGCAGAAGCCTTTTAATGTTGCGGTGGAACTATGAATTGGACCTTTTCTCCGTTGGCTCAGGGTCGGGCCTGACCGAACCCATGCAAGGAGCTTCAATGAGTTCAGTCTATCTAATTCTTTGAATGGTCGGGTCGGAAAATCTTAATTTTAATTTTCATTTCTTCGTTGCTCATTCCCGCTAGGCCGGAGTGTTTGGCCTTTTCTTCTCCGCGCACTCTCACACTTGGCTGTTTTTTTAACCTGTGATATTGGTGTTATGTAATTGTTAAATTTTGATTTACTTATACTAATTTTTTTTTTAAATCTTTTCTACTGTTTGTATTCAATTCTTGGCACATTGAAATAACTGTAAAATTCATCTGGGGTTATATGTGGTTGGAATATTAATGGGAGAACTTTTGGGGTGTTTGGTTAGCTGTATGAAAAGTTAAATTCCCTGTAATTGTTTTCAAATTACTGTTTTTTCGTATAAGTAAGCTTTCTGACGGACCACTTTGTTAAATTGTAAAGACGCTAGGGAGAAATGGACGCCTACTATGAACCATCACCATTTTTCTGGGTTGAAGAAAGTAAGGGGCAAGCTTCTACTCCAAGACCAAGAAAGAAGGTGAAAAGGAAGAAGGAATACGTGGGTTGGGGTTCAAGTGAGTTGATTGCATTTCTTGAATCAATGGGCAAGGATTGCACCAAAACGCTTTCCCAATATGATGTCACCAATATAATTAATCTTTATATTAATGATAACAAGCTTGTTCACCCAGACAATAAAAGGAGAGTTTTGTGTGATGAAAAGCTGTTTTCTCTCTTTGAAAAGAAGACCATCTTCCGAAATAAGATACATGATTTATTGGAATCACACTTCGCCGAGAATCAAGAAGATTCAGATGACGATAATCTTGGCAGCTCTGATGAAATTGATGAAAATGGTTATTCTGTCCCTAAAAAGCTGAAAATTTTGAGCTCAGATAAGACAACTCGGTCTAAGAAAAAGGCTCCAGAAGTCTCGAAAAGCTGCTTAGCAGCTATCAATTCTGATAATATCAAGCTCTTGTATCTGAGAAGGAGTTTGGTTCAAGAGCTGCTCAACAACCCAGAAACATTTGAAACTAAAGTAGTTGGGAGTTTTGTTCGGGTAAAATCTGACCCACATGACATTTTCCAAAAAAACTCTCATCAGCTTCAACTTGTCACAGGTATCAGTCTTTGTACATGCATTTAGAATTAAGATTCATTCAATTCACACCTCTGTTTTGCTGATTAATTTAACTCCTGCCTGAATTTTCCTACTTATATTAGAAAGATTCACTTATTAACTTACAGGTGTCAAGGAAGGTACTCCAGCTGGTGAAACAAAGCCCTCTATGCTTCTGCAAATTTTAGGCATGACAGATGTCATTAGCATATCTGAACTTTCAGATGACATTTTTCCAGAGGTAAATTTGGTCTTCAGTATATAAACTGATTAGGACTTTAACCAATTATATATATATTTTTTGCAAGTTGATAATTTACACTGTATTGTAAGTTTATGCACTTGAAATACTTTTCCACTTTTACTTGTCCTGTCCGGTGCAAATCACTAGTCTGGTGTTAAGGATTAATTCATTTTAATTGATTCTGCACATGGTAGGTGAGTATCAGGTGACGAGCAACTCTAAGTATCAATAATCGTCACTGCAAAAGAATTCTCTAAAGTATTGAGTGTAATGTTGGAAAATTGTCTCAACCTATCTTCTTACTGTTTGCATGTTTCCTTTTGTGTAATTATCTCATGTCTTAGATTAATTCTTATACAGGTAGCTTTAAATGTTCGCTACCTGGAACAAAGCTGATACAAAAACCCTTTATTGTCTACTCAGCTGATACTTTCTGTACTGTAGGAAGAAATTGAGGAATTGCGTAGTAGAGTTAAAGATGGTTTACTGAAGCAGCCTACCATTGTAAGTTGTTGAGATTTTGTTTGTTCTTGATTGTATTTCATTTCCCATTGTCTTCTTATAAGTTTCCTATTTTTCATGGCTTTGCTGTAGTAGGATTTTCATTCATCTTTACTTTCACGATTTTTTGAACATGAACAGGGTGAACTTGAACAAAAAGTAGTTGTTCTGCACGAGGACATAACTAAACATGTATGTATACTTTTCTCTCATTGCATTTGATATTATTATCTATAACTTTGCTGCTTGACTGTTAGCTGTGATATATTGTCTATGTTGACTATGTAGGCTTGTACTCTTGTAATTTTAAATTTTGTTTGCAAGCTGTCTAGCTCTCTGTTGGTCCGTTTGCAATTTTTTTTTCAAGAAGCAATTGTGCATCTATTCACAAGCTACTTTATGTCTTCTCAATCTTAGTTATTTTACTTGTCTGATGCCATTTTTAATTTTTCATATCTCCTTAACTTCTTTTGATCTCATCCCAAGATGGGGCATAATTATGCAAGGAGTCTATCACTTATCTGGTGGTGCTTTTGAATTTGAAAACTTTCCTTGATTATGAGAGACATATGGTCACATATCCCAAAAACGGAAGAGAGAGAAATGCATCAAAGGCACAGACTACCTGTCGCTGGTTAAAGTTTACTGGAGTTTTTTTTAGCTCGTACTTGTTAAAACTTTCAGCTTTAACCTTTTGATAAAATTTTATTTTAACATGTTAAACTGCAGATATTCAAGACTAATATGAATGATTGGTGACCTTCCTGTTTTCTAAAAAACACCAGAACAATAATTATTTGTTAGTTATTCACGACTAATATGAACGATAATTACTAATTATACAGTAATATATTTGTAAAGAAACTGGTGTGGGATATGATAATGAGACCTAATGTCAAACACCATGTTACGTAGACTGAATGGTATGAAAGTATGAATCCAATTTGGGTATGTACTGAATATTCAGAATCTTGCCTTTTTCCCAAATGCCCAAGTTGACCTGAAGAGTGGATACAAGGTATAACTAAGTTACTGGACTTCCAACTCTGCCCTACCCCCACCCCCTTCTCTCTTTTATCCCCCTTATCTGCTCTCAATGTTCCTTTTTTATTTTTATTTTTTATTTTTTTTTATTTCTTTCTTTTTACTTTTTATTTTTTAATTTGTTTTAACCTGTTAGTCCTAATCTGATATTATACCATTCAAAGCTTGCATGTATTTAAGTCAATCGTTTGATGAAACAGCTGCTTGATAGTTTCATAACTTGCTGACACATTTGAGAGGTCTAGTTAAACTAAATGATGCAGACTCTGTTTGGTTTGACAGAAAACATTTTTAATAGGAAAGGTTTTTATGGAAACCGTTTTTTCAAAGGAATATACAATTGTAAAATTAGCTCTTCATTGTTTGGTTCCTTACAAGAAAAGTTAGAGAAAAATGGAAATGGAAGGGAGAGAGATGGGTGGAGATAAAAAGGGAGGTAAGGAGTAGAGAGTGAAGTGAGGCTTCCCTTCCTCAACAAAGGTAAATGTTTTCTACACTTGGCAGAGTTTTTCTTCACCTTTGGGATTTTTTTTTTTCTATTCCATTAGAAACCAATTTAAGGAAAAATGGGAAAATAACTTTCCTGGATAATGATTCCTCCCATCCAATCTCTCTTATATTAGATATTTCTCAAAATGTGTACTCCCATCAAGATGGCTACAAATTTCATGATATATGTTCCTGTAAATTATTTTGTGAGAGCCCAAAATGCATAGTTTCAGCAGGATATTCTAGAAGAATGTGTAAGGCTTTATGCCTTGAAGAGAACCCAGTTTTCCAATAATCTTTCTTGCCAAGGTTCATATTTGAGGATCCTTTATGTTCCGTTGCTTCAAACAATTTGTCTTTGGAGTTTAAGAAGATTCACCAAAATGCCCTCTTTTTTTTTCTCTTTTTTTGAAATATAATTATAATTTGAATGGATTGGAAATGAGTTTAGGGCATGAGAGAAATTTAAGTGTATTCTCACAGTCTCACTTGTTAGATTTATGACATTTTCCAAGTAGGAGATAGGGACATTATTTTCTAGATACGTGTATTCTTACTAGTCTGATTTATGACATTCTTGCAACTTAAAAGTGATGCCATTCTTTTGACGTAAAGAGATAAGTGAATTTGGTAAATGTAGTTATATTAATTTTTGCTCCTTCATGTAATATAGTCATTACTCGGTTGCTGCTATCTACTCTCTTGAAGTGCTTTTCCTAGTTATTATGCTGTTAACTTGATTGAAGCACACACACCTTGATCTGAGTTTTTTACTAACTCATTATAATTTGAGCTATGGAAAAATTTGGATCTGCCATGATATTGCAAAGCTTAATTTAGAGTATTTATTGTTTGCTGATTTCTTCATATGTGATAAGTCACGCACTGTAAATCCCTCTCTAGCTATTCTACATATTGTTTATAACTTTAAATTGCTCCCTAAAATCATAGTTTCAGCATCCATATCCTTAGTTGAGTATGTAGTGACTTGTCATATGAGTTTGATACTTCACATGCTGAACGAATACTATAGTAGTCAAATGGAGAGTAAGAACTTGAAGTTTTTGAATCATTGTCTCAGAAGGTTCTGTAGTATTTGTGAGGTGCCTTTTTCTTATCATGTCGAGTGTGAACCTGTTAGGAATGCATAAAGCTTCTGCTTCTTTTTTTTCTTTTCATTTTTTCATTTTTTTTTTTAAGATTTAGACAGTAGGGACAATGTGGTTGGTTAATCTTATTGTGATATGTATATATTTGGCAATAAAATATTTAACATGATATATTTGAGTCTTTTCTTGATCACAGTGGCTTGCAAGAGAACTTGTACTTCTCAAGAATCTTATAGATCGTGCAAATGAGAAGGGATGGCGTCACAGATATCCTTTACTACTGTTTTGCTAACTTTCACTACTGGTTATAATGTAAAAGTAACATGGATGCTAGTCCTGATGTATTGGTTTTGAATCTTTGTCTTGGGATACCATTTCTATTGGTTTTCCACAAGCAGGATTAAATTCGGTACATGGCGGAACAAATCTGTGCTCCTCTGTTGTCTTATGTGCTCACACTTGAATAATTATGATGCTCCTGCTTATCCTTTACTAGTTTTACAGTGAGAGAGTACTTGGACAGAAGGAAGCTACTTCAGTCACCTGATGAACAATCACGCCTGCTCAGTGAGATTCCAAAGGTGATGGCAGAAGAAGTTAAAACAGAATTAGTTTCTGAACCTGCTCCTGATGATTCGCCTAAAGCTGCTGACTGGGACTGGGAACCTTTTAATTTCTCATCAACTAAAAAAGATGTGACGAAGTCAGAAGTCTTAATTAATCAGAATGGTCAAGGTATGCACTTTTACTTTAACTTTTGTGTCTGTTCAGAATAGGGTATGTCTCAGGTTCTCTCATTTGGAGCACCACTTACCTGCACTTGCAGTGCATTTGGGATCATTAATAACTCATTAACTTGGTATGGCTTCTGCAATGATCATTCTGAAACTTTAGAAGCTTTAGTAATTAATAGTCAATATAATTTTGAATTTTGGTTACATGGGTTTTAAATTTTCTACCCTGCTTATAGCTAGCCCCAAGAATTCGTAATTTGGTTTTTGGGGCTGTTAATATAAGGATATCTGAAATTAAATTGTTAGTAGAATCTCTTATTAACGTTTTTTGGGTAGTGGTGAAAAATTGATAGCTTGATATCATCTTGAGTGTAGAAATTGAAGTTTTAAAACCTTCTTACATGTATATCTTAAAAAAAAGTTCTTACTGTTGGGGTTTGTTACTGTACATTATTTGCACCTGGCAAGTGTTGTTTAAGGGTTTTGGTCATGTCTTACTATACATGGTATATATTGGTACCTAGTGGCCATTGATTATTGTAATTAAATTATTGTTATATATATTTCTTACATCAAATTCTGTCAGACTGCCCTTACAGTTTTGAAGTTGATTCAATGTACTCAAGATTATAAGACTAAAGACTGACAGGAGAAAATTGGAATAGTCACAAAGTAACACATAAAGTAGCATCCTGGTACTGTAATTTGAGATGTGTCCTACTCTAGGTGGGATAGAGCCTAGAGGGTGTTCTGTTCTTAATTTAGCAGACACTCAATTCTTGTCTTGGGTAAAATTTTCAATTTAATCAGCATGTCTAATACAAAGTACTCTGTATATTTTTGGTGTATGATCGAGGAAAATAATTATTAAGGTGATTAATATGTTCACTACTTGGTAATTTATATGGTGATGTCTTGCATCATATTATAAGCACTAGTATTAGAGTAAAATAATGGAATTGGGCATGCTTTTATGAGGGAGCGTGATAAATTAATTGACTCTATGCTATAGTTTAGTCCCTGGATTAGGTGTTGAAGTTAGTCTGTAGATATATGTCAAGGTGGGGCAATTACTTGGTGATTCCTTGGTTTTGAAGCTTGCCATTTCAACTGTTCAAATACTTAGTGTTAACTCTACACCGGAACAGGTTCCCTCTTCCATATCGTTTTTATAATTTTTAATAGATACAGAGTACTACAGTGCTACATTTATCTCGCTATTTCCTCCTCCCTTTTTAGTAACAACTAAACTGATTTATGACAGCATTTCCCATTGAGCTTCAAATTATATTATTTCTAGTTTCTGAGATGTTCAATTTGATTGCTAAAAGTTAAAAAATTGACTAGGTTAGCTTGTGTTATTTACTTCTCTTCATTATAGTCTTTCTCTCTCTCTCAAGGTCAATGGCTGAACTTCACGCACACCATGATGACCAAGATAATTTATAATATTCAGTGCAGCCATCATTGGCTAGCAATGCAAGGAAGATTGACCCTTTATTATAGCCAATCTCCTTTATTGGGAGGGCCAAGTTTCTTTCAATATACGAATTGCCAATTTATTTTTTTTTCATTTGTTTTGATTTTTGAATATTTCAAAATATATTTGTCAATTACACTTAACTATATCAAGACATGTTCTTGATGAAATTATCCAGTATACCAATCAACTCTTATCATGTATCTCTTGTCTCATACTCTCATTAACTGAGTACTTGTATTGTTCTGAAATAGGTCCAAGTGTATGTAATTAACACTTTGCTTTCTATTATTTTTTGTTTTCCATCTATGGGATATGCTTGTAAATTCTAATGTTGAAGCATTTGCTAAATCTACCAGGTCCCTGCTTTATTTTTTGAATCCTGTATGACATGTTATGTAGTGATGAAATCTTTCCTTGTCAATCCTGGTTCATGAGCAGTATTTTACTTAATTACTCTTGAAGCAATCATCAGTGCAGGTAGCATGTTTGCCGGTTATTTCTTTACCGCTGTTAACGAAGTTCCATCACTTTTTGCAGCAGCAGCTGTGGCAGCTGAAATCAGCACAAGAAGCAATGGTGATGCACATACTTATAGCCTTGAAGAAAGAAGCCAGCTTGGAACTGGCTCTTTGGCATCAGTAAATAACTTATCTGCGCAATCCTTAGAACCGAAGGAAAGAGAAGCTCCTAAAGTAGAAGCAGTTAATGTCAAAGGCAATGGTTACACAGAGTTCTTAAACTTAAATCACCTAGGCATCCCTAACAATGGGACAAAGCAAGAAAGCAATGGCCATGTACAGCTCCCGAGCTCAAAAGAATTGAAAACGATTCAACCAGTGGTAATTGATTTGAGTGATAGTGATGAAGAGCAAGAAAATCCTAGTGTTGGGACCCAAATTCCAAGACCACGAGAAAATCCTGGTGTTGGTGCCCGAATTCCAAGACCACAAGAAAATTCTGGTGTTGGTGCTCGAATACCAAGACCACAAGAAAATCCTGGTGTTGGTACCCAAATTCCAAGACTTCAAGAAAATCCTGGTGTTGGGACTGACATTCCAAAACCTCATGCGGAGCAGTCATTGTGGCATTACTTGGATCCTCTGGGAAGAGTCCAGGGACCATTCTCCTTGATATCCTTAAAGCGGTGGAGTGATGCTAACTATTTCCGACCTGATTTTAGAGTTTGGGCAAGTGGTCAGGGCCCTCAGCAAGCGGTTCTGTTGACCCTTGTTCTTCGGCATATTTTCCCAAATTGATTCAGGATTGTGTACATAAAATGCTGTCACAGAGCAATTTTTTTCAACTGTAACTTTATGTAAAGATTGCACTAGTTTTTAGGTCTAGCCTTTCTGTATGAACCTCAGTTTTAATAGTGTTTTTGAGATGAACATTTTTTAGGCTGATGGGTCTTCTTCAGTTCATGTTACATCTCATAGTACTAGACTATCAACTCTTGATATGAAATAAATGGTTGGTTCTTTTTTCTCTCACAGGTCACAGCTAACCTTGTTCCAGTGTTACATAATTTGCGAATCCTCCTACAAACTGATGAATCGAAAAAGGGTGATACTTAAAAGAGGTACTTTGTAGCCAAAATAAGTTGGTGAATTGTGGTTTTATAGTAGCAAGTTTAACAATGCCTTGTACTATCAGATATTTTTGGCTCATATAGTCATATTATGTGTTAAATATCAGATTCTTTTTAATAAAACCTCAGCCCAAGGCTGAGATATCAGCTTACAAACCTAAAACAAAGGTTATTTATACTTGCTCTTTGGTTGTGCTGTATTATTTTGTTGTAAAACATCAAATGTCTACTATGCTTAATGGTGATTGTTATCCATTTAGAGCACTAATATCGTTTTTTTAACATTGTTTCGTGTAGTAGGACACTAGGATTATGAATCATATTAGCTAGAATGCTTGGAAATGATATTCTGAACTTTGTGTAAAAAGAAAAGTTAAGGATGAATGTCTCATTGTAGTATGAACCTGCTCAATTAATATATAGAAAATTGCACTCTTTACATAATTGATCAATTTCTATTGCCAATGTCTAATTACAAAAGAGTTCAACCAAAATTTTATTGGTTGTGCGATGTTTTGGAGTTGGTAAACAAAATTAATTGGGTGCAACCTGTGTTCGATTAATTCTTTCAAGCTTTACGCATTGTGAAATAGTTTTTTGAATTACAACGTACACATCAGAAAAATCAACATCTTTACAACGTATATTTACAAATATGTTGATTTTTCAGATAAATACTCATGGTTTCCTCCAAAAAAAAAATCTCATTATATTAAATTGGACAAAATGAAAAAAATAAAAATTAAAGAAAAAAAAAAATCATATTATAAAATTAAAACATCATAACACTTGAGAAAAGCAGAGGGAGTATTAATTACGAGTAGTGTAATATAGAAACGGAATGTTGTAGAAGGGCTGACGGGATAAAACTCCCCCAATAATCCATGCTCTTTTTGCTTTTCAAATTCAAGAATTTGAATCACAATCCCTCTTATAGCCAAACAAGCAGCAGTCCTGTTGGCCGCGTAAATCAAAAGCTACAAAGTTAACTAATCATGTCTTGTTACCCCTTTTGAATAAGACCCTTCAATTCAAAACATTTGAATTTAACAAGTCTTAAGGGATGACATCTTCATTAGGACTTTAACGACACAGTTGGAATATCACAAGAGGTTTCCCTCACGAAAAGGAGATTTGACAAGAAAATTCTACATAACACGGCTAAACATATTATTGTACCAAAAAACCTAATGGAGAACTAAACTGGCCAAAATAATTCGGCCTCAAGCAAAGAATATCGCCAACACCATAGGTAAATTCAACTTCAAAAAACATAATTAGAATGATTATGTGACAGATTGTTCATAACAATAATACCAAATTGACATTATGTAATTAAAAAGATAATGCAACAGATTGTTCATAACAATAATACCATAACGACATTACAATTGACATAGTTTTGACACACGAAAAACAAAAACAACACACAGAGACAACCACCACGATCCAGCTGGTTGCTGACTCGCTTCCAGCCAATCACTTATTCCAGAATATAGAAATTAACTGAAATAAACCTTACATCCTAATACGATTATACGAGTACTTAGTAATTAGTATGACATTGAATGAAACTGGATATTAGATATCACTCTTCTTCCGACTCGGACTCAGCACTCTGGAGCCACTCCACAAAAGGCTTGACAAACTTCCAAATAGATGAGCTCTTGTTGTTGCCAGTTGATCCCTTCTCGTACCACTCGACAATGGCTTCTTCCTCCAGCAAGTCAGCATCATAAAGAAACTTCAGAGCCACTGCTACCTCCTTGACAGCATCGGGACTAGCTTTTCCACAGAAAGACTCGATGGCATGCAACAGGATTGGCTGTGAACTTTCAGCATAAGCTAGAGCAGCACCGATGTAGTTCTTTTTCTTATTGACCTCCTTTGCAAATCCCTTCTGCAAACCGTCAAAGAGAGCCTCAAATACAGCATCCACTACCTCTTGAGGGGTGCCTGAGCACGAGGTTAAGTGGGTTTTCAACTGATTTGCAGTTGGACCTTGCTTCAGGTATTCCTTCAAATCCTTAATAAGAGTCTCTTGTGGGTCAGCAGAGAGACTGCCATTTTGTGCTTTGACCTCAGGCTCTGGTTTGCGAGGTGGGGACTTCTTCCGAGGAGGAGATTTCTCTTCAGTTGAGAGCATCACCATGTCAGCTGTCACAGCACTAAGCTGCTCTGTTATCCTCTTCTGAGCTGCCTCCATAGATGTGTCAGTCAGCCATTGAACATTGTCGCCATCGTCATCATCCTCATCATCAACATCTACCAAAGGTTCATTATCACCAGCCTGGCTCCCAGTAGGAGAATGGTCTTCATCAGAACCCTGGGTCTTCTTCTTGGTTGACTTAGATGCACCTTCTTTTGAGGACTTCTTCTGCTTCGCTGCCTTATCGGCAGCTTCACCATTCTTGAGGCGTTCCTTCTCAGCCCTCCTCAAGGCCTTCTTGTCCTTTGATTTCTTCACTTCAGGTGGGTTTTTAAGAATAAAGGTCGTGAGCTTGTCTCTCATATCCACATCAGACACAAATCCACAAGCAGCACATTTAAGCTGCAACATCTGAGTCTTGGTTATCAGAATCTCAGTCTCAGGGTTGCCACACCCATAGCACTGAACATATTTCTTGATAAAATTCTCGAGAAGTCCAGCAAGTTTTGCTGTGTCATGAGCTCCATTAACAAGGGAAACCCCTGTCTTTTCGTCAAATTTGGATTGAGCTCCGAGCTCACAACCAAAGTACTTTGTTGTGTAGGCAGCAGGCCGAGCCAAGGCTTTCGCTATGTCAACCATGTTGACAATGTTGGTTTTAATGCCATTACCACGACCTTCAATCTTTGTGACCATCCTAGGCATCTTATACCTGTAGAAGGCATCATCACGGTTTCCAGCACCAATGTTCTGAAGTGCCATCTTGCCTTATGAAGTGATTAGAGTTTGTTAGGAGGCAATGAGAGGAAGCGCTGATATCTGAAGGAAAGAAGGCTGCATATAAGTGCAACCCCAACAATTAAGAGAATAACCCTCAATATTCCCAATATGCATACAACTCAATTTTCCGGAGGTATGACTATCCTTTTTTCTAGACGTAGGGCAATATTCTCCAAGCAAGCCGATTGATGACAAAAAGAGAGAGGCTCGTTCAGACATAAAAAAAGCTTCAAACTCCACTTTTACGAACTGCGGCTACAGCACGGCTATTGCCAATCCTACAAACAAGAACACTAAAATAAATAAGTCATAAACAAAAAAGAACTCAATCATTCAGCAACCAATATCACCCCCATCCATCAAACTGAAATAGAAAAAACAACATGTAGACAGGTAGACATGAAACCTTACAGCTCAAATACGATACGGTAAGAGTTAAGGCTTCTTACAAGAATAAACCATCCACAAAGAAAGCATATTGACAGCAGAATCAGTATTGGCCGTAGAAAAATAACAACCTTAAACAATAAAGGTTCATATAACTATCAATTAAGGTTGTTCATAAACCCTCATCAAACGCAGTAGGTTCGGCAACTCGTATACACGAAACCAATGAATCATTCACCAAGGAACATTCAAAATAGCAGTAAAATAATTTGTTTCCATTTTTATAATGTTATCGAACACATTAGGGTAAAAAGTAAAGCTAAGAAAACTATTGACAACCACCAATTATGGAAAAACATCAACTTGGCCAAAAAGAATCTTAAAAAAGACAAATAAACATTCAGCCGCAACCTAATTTCATTACAGATCTTAAAATTAATCAATAGATGCTCAAAACACCAAAATAACTTAACATCAATTTCATTAATGCTCAAAAAATCTGACGTTATAAATTAATTAACACAACAACAAAAAAAAAATAATCCTCCGTAAAAATAACAAATAGGTCAACCCTAATTCATACTCCTATCAACAAATCCAAACACGACGAACACATATATCAAAAAAAATCATCAATTAATCCAACAAAAACATCAAAAATCAATGCGTGAACAATTCAGGTCAAAGAATCTCGCATCGGAATCAATTTTAATCGAAAATCGAACAACAAAACCAATAATACAGCACGAAATCGACGAAAATCAAACATATCAACAGATCTAAAATCAAACTCATTACATCAGAAGAAAAATAACAATAAAAAATGAAGAAATTACTGTATGATTGAGAGACAGAGGAAGACGAATACCTGGGAATCGAGGAAAAGGTGAAGAGAGAGAGAGGTGCAGGAAAGAGAGAAGAGAGAGAAAAAAGAGGAGAGAGATTGAGTCGGCAGTAATGTTGCGGCGGTACATTAGAAGGGCAACATGTTTGGTCATATTTATATCCACAAATCACACATTTTAATCCTACTAATATTGTGATTATTATTGTTTAATTTTAGGAAGTGGACAAAGGAAAAATATTGTGATTTTGAGAATTCTAACCCTAGTTGGTTTTGTCTAGAGCTTTGTAGAGTTTTGTAAAGTTCATCCCATCCACTTTTTTTTTTTTTTTTTTTTTGTTTTTTTATTTTTTTTCAAAAAAAAATCTATTATAATTTACAAAAATTGTTAAAAATAATTTGAAAATTGGTGATGGGTTTATAATGGCCTTATATTATATAACTTCACTTTCGAGATGGGTAGGTTGTAACTCAACATTTGCCTAAAGTTAAGACAAATTTGCCATAACTAAGGAACTGCCTTAAACTTGCTTTTGGAAATTTCAAGATCAAACCCTACTGAAAGGGGACTTTTTCGTCCAAAAGTGAATAGAAGCGAACCTTGAATTAAACATTTAAAATTAATGTCCAATGCCTTTTTTTTTTCCAAAAATCGCGCCACTCCGAATTTTGAGCCCAATAGTGTTGCTGCAACCCACCATGATTTTAAGCTAAGTTATGTTCGATCATCTCTCACACGATCAAATACAAAACCTAACAATCCTATCAACACTTTTAGTTTTAGAAAATCTTGTCATCACTTGTTTCTTGCAACCCACTATACAACTTGATCTGTTCTTTCGGTCATCCTATCTAGGCGTAACTTGACTATCACTCAAATCAATCCAACTTGAGTTGACTCGAACGTCATTTCTTCCCCTAACTAATCAATGTTTTGTTACAAAATAACTCTTTACCAACTAATTCGTGGTTGGTATATTTTTTTATTCATTTATATGTCACTTAACTCGATTTATATTTTTTTCCCATCTCTTTAAAATTTTTGTATGGATTATTGGTGGTAGTGACTATTGTACTAGTACATGAGTTTTTAGGTGGTGGCAATGAAGTTTAGATTTGTTGTGGATACTTTTGTGATAATCAACCGACATGCATTGGTAAACAAGGAAATTTTGTGTCGTTGTATACAACATGACACTAATTAGTTTATCGTGAAACCTAGTGAAGAAGGAGAATATTTCAAGAATAGAAGTATAAAACACAAGGGCAAATTATATTTTTATAAAGCTTATCAAGTAAAGACAACTTTAATAAGGATTAAACATATTTTTAAAGACCGCATATTTTTTTTTTTACAAACTTATGTCTATGTTAATCAATTTCCATCCACATGTAGCACACACATATTGGAGAATGTATGAGGTATAGAGAGCTACTATTATCCTAGAAACCTAGGTGCTTTCACTCACCTAGATGTAATATAAGTTTATTCCTTTCCTGTTTAAAAGAAAAAAAATCAAACAAATTGAATTTTAAAGTGCATTCAAAGAAATAAGACTCCACCAACAAATTAAATTTCATTCATATGTTTCTCATTGAAATGAGTAAAAGCATACAAAGTGACAAAGGAAAATCAATCTTAACATTTGGTTGGTTTAGATTTGTCCTACATTTTATGATTCATCAAAGAAGTCGAAAACATGTAGTGATTTGATTGTGTGTAACCCATAGTGATTTGATTCAAACTATATACTCCGTATGTATTATTATTATTTGAATTAAACCCTCAAATGTATAGATTAAACCTTATAACACTTGATTATAACTTAGTAAAGTAATTTTGATACCAAGGACATGTGAACATATTTAGCAACTGGAAACAAATAATACCACCATCCGGAAATAATAATCATGAATTTTAGAAATAGTAAAATCCTTGAATTTTTAAAGGTTGAGGCAATGTGAATACTGAGTATTACAATTCTAAATGGAGAAACTATTTTGTATGTTTTTAAAACTCACACTTCTTCAGTCTTTCAGGCTCACACTAAAAGTTCCTTCAGTCTTTCAGGCTCACTCTAACACAGTTCCTTCAGTCTTACTTGCACGTTCAGAACTGCCAGTGACTTTAGATCCCTAAACATCTGACACAACAGAAGTTACCAGCCAAAAGAAGAAATTATCATACCGAAGTTAACACATCGGACACCGCGTCTAAAGCGTGGTTAAGATCACATCCTTAAGACATTTTCTCAGCTCAGATGATTATGGACTAGTAACAGATACATATGTCATGTTACAACAATCTAAATTATGCTCTTTTGTAATATCGAGCATCAATACTAACATCTTGCATCTACAAATCAAATTTCACAACTAATAAATCAGATAAAAGTTCAACCTTGACCACCTGTAAGATTGAATTTGAAGCCAACTGCAATACACTATGTAAAATGGCACACCCTTGCTTGGACATCTGTACCCCAGAAAAAGTATAATCTTGTCACAAATGCAAAATATAATAGGTTCAAAACTTCTATTTATCTATCAACCACCAAAGCTACATGAAGTACTTAAAAAGCAAAGGAAAGAGATGACCAATATATGTTTCAGGTTACCAGAAACATAATGCACAACTAATACTCCCACCAATGACCATACATGAAGTACCGAGTATTAACTCGTTCTATAGTTTTTCAATGTCTCGTGAAGCTCCAATACAGCAGCAGAGATATGATCAAACACATACAAGGACAGCCAGTTATGATTGTAAGACATGACCACAATACACAAAAAATTAGAAGAGAAACAATATACCCCAACTCCACAATAAAAGCTGAAAACTTAAAAAGATGTTTCTCCACTAACTGAGGCATGAAGAAAATTGTTTCCAGTATAGCAGCAATTCCTTGCTAAAATAAGTGCACTTAACAATAAAAATGAGCAAAATGACTTAAGAAAACAATCACCCTTTAAAATGACAATCTTCATGATACTCCATAATCAGTCACAAGATCACACCATAATGTACATGGAAATAATGATATAGATACAAAAGTTTCTCCAAATCACAAGCCAGTGAAAAAAAGAAGGACAAAAATATGATCAAATAAGGAATTGTTACTTCACACCTTTGGTTATTAATTCAGCAATGCAACTCAACTTTACTTCCTGAATTGCTTCACAAAAGTCATATAACCCTATATGGAGGAAAAATATTATATGCAAACTCAAAAATTAATCACATACATCAACAGGTTGCACAAAATGTAACAGCAAATTAGATCAGATAAGAGTACTTCTGCAGTCCCTTAGATGAAGCTCTGCCCGATATCATCTGATTACTACTTGTGTAGAAGCCTACAATACTGGTGGGAAAGTAGGCATGAACTCCTTGGAATTAAGAAGAGGAACTTCCTGGAACCAGCAATGATTAAGGGCCTCTTTCGCTGTTATCCTCTTCTCAGGGTCATATGTTAATATCCTGCTCAACAAGTCAAGCCCTGAGTTAGACAGTGTTGGAGAGCCAATAAAAGATGCACGGGGAAACTTTTTATGCAATAGATTATATGGTTGGTGAACAAAGTTGACCTTAACCCCAGGCAACTTTGAGTAGCCTTCCCAAATATTGTCATTAGGTGTGCCCAACAAATTGAATATCTTAGCAATCTGCTCAAACTCAGTTTTTCCCTCAAATAATGGTTGGCCAGTCAGTAGTTCAGCCATTATGCAACCCACTGCCCACATATCCACAGCTGTTGAGTATTCTTTGGCTCCCAACAGAAGCTCGGGAGCCCTGTACCAAAGCGTTACCACCAGAGAAGTATAAGGTTTCAATGCCCTACCATAATGGCACGACATTCCAAAATCACAAATTTTTACCTCTCCCATATTATTAAACAAAATATTTGCTGTCTTCAAATCTCTATGAAACACCCAGTTATCATGAAGATATTTAACACCCTCCAAAAGTTGAAGCATCAAGCACTTCACTTCACTCTGAATAAATGGCCGCCTCCTTGCCTTCATTAATGCCCTAAGATCATGTTCCACATAGTCCATCACCATATAAACATTGTCAAACCCATCAACACTATCATCCACCACTACTTTTTGAACATTCACAATCAAAGGATGGTTCAATGACATAAGAATTTTAATCTCCCTCAAATAACAAAAAGGAAATCCCTCACTTCCACTCCCCAACTTCATCTTCTTTAAGGCAACTATCTCTCCACTCTTCTTATCCCTTGCTTTATACACAACCCCATAACTACCCTCATTAATCTTACCAAAAAATCAAAGAAATTTTGTCAACAACTATCAATTTAAGCCTTTATTTTAAAAACAACTACCTTTTAATTTTTTTTTTTAAAACAACTACCACAAACTTGTAAAAAGTTATAGTAGCACTACCACTCTTAAATTTTTGACAAGAATCTCCGGTGAGTGGGTCCCACTTTCTACCTTTCCTCCAATTTTTGCTTCTCTCTCCTCTCGACATATCTGCTAATGTTCGTTTTCCAATTGAACAAAATTTCCTAATTTTTTTCCTCCAAATTTCTTCCTTTTTTCACCAATTGAGCAAGAGGAACAATTTCTGGAACATTACATCAGGTAATTTGAGAATTTTATATGCTAATTAGGGTTCTTAATAACTCGAAATTGGGGAAATTAGGGTTTCACAATTTTTTGCTTTTTGGGTAAATTGAATGGATTTATCGACATTAGGGTTTATTAATTGGTTGTTATCCATGTATTTGCAGGATTATTGCGAATTGAATCATGTCCAATTCATCCTATGAATCAGCTCGTCCTTTTCCTGGCAAGTGCTATTGTGGAATCCCCCCCCAAAGTGGAGACTTCTTGGACCAGTACCAATCCTGGAAGAAGGTTTGTTGCCTGTAAGTTTTACGATGCCTATATTGGTAGGCGTGGATGCAAGTTTTTTGAGTGGATTGATGTAGAGATTGTGGAATGGCAAAGGGTCATTACCAACCAGCTTGTGTTGGAAAAGAAGTTGATGAAGGCAGAAGTTGCTAATATGAAGCAAGAGGTTTGTTTGCTGCAAGATCAAAAACCAAGATTGGTCGAGCAAAATGAAAAATTCAGCAAGAAATTGAAGGGTTCATCCTTGGAATTGAAGAGAAGGGAAGGTAGTTGGGTCTTGAATAAAAAAGGGGTAATTAGGTAATTTCGTATGGTCAAATTGGAGGGAAAGGTAGAAAGTGGGACCCACTCGGCGGAGATTCTTGCCGAAAATTTAAGAGTGGTAGTGCTACACTAACTTTTTACAAGTTTGTGGTAGTTGTTTTAAAAATAAATTTAAAAGGTAGTTGTTTTCAAAACAGAGGCTTAGATTGGTAGTTGTTGATAAAATTTCCAAAAATCAACAATCAATTTTCTTCCCTATAAAAAAAAAATCAACCATCCGTAGAAATTATTCTCCTCTTATGATAAAGTTCCCGTCTAAAAAAAAACTATGATAAAGTTATAGCCGCCCCTCTCTTTTCTCTTCTCTCTCCCCTCTCCTCTTTCCTCTCTCTTTTAGGGTTTTAGTTTTCTAGACTATTTCCAAGCTTTTCTCTTTGATTTAATATTTTAATTCAGTTATTTGTTATTTGTATTGTTTTGATTCGTTTTGTTCTCTTCATTTGTGAGAGTCTCTTCCAATTTTTTGGGTTTTATCCAAATTTTTGGGATTTTGATTCTCATCTATGCGTGATAATTTTATTTGTAGGGTCTAATAATAATTGAAAAGGTGACTTGAATCCATATGGGTTTAAGGTTTGTCATCAATTCTACGATCAAAACATCAGTGCGGATTGCGAAGGTCTCTATTTGAAAAGATGCGAAGACATCGAAAATCACTGCTCACGTCAAGTTTGATGCGGTGGAGTGTAAGCTATGCTAGATTTACAAAATAGTTAGGATATTGATGGTAAAAGTTATGTTATTTTCTCTAAATTTGTGATTTACAAATCTATTATTATTAATGTAGATTTTTTATGACTATTTATTAATGATAATAATATTCTTCTTCCTGTAAAAAAAAATGATAAAGTTTCATATTTTTAAAAACTTTCTAAATAGTAAATTTTACTCGTATGGTCGTATGATATACAATATAAATATCTTTTTAATGATATATCTGCTTATTTTTCTATAAGTAGTTGTTAAGAGACTTATTGATCTGGGAGAAAAACATTGCATTACATTGAAGTTCTTTAGATTTGGAATAATAAGAGAAAATTATAGTGAATTAAAAATTTCCTTAGATGCTTTTGAAAAAAAAAATTACATAAATATATGGAGGAAAATTTTTTAACCAGATTTTGACACGTGTCACTTTTTATTAACCTTTAGTATTTTTATTTTTTTTATTTGAGGGAAACGCAACAAACAGATTTATTAATCAAGGGACGAAGCGTCTGATAATACATATAGGAAGAAATTTCACTAGGACAATGATTAACTCAATTTGTTCCACCCCATATGGTACTACTCTAGCGAGATGATGGGCAACATTGTTTCCGTCTCTTTTAACACGGCACCAAGAGAAGGTTTTAAAAGCACTACTCAATAACAAGATATCTTCGATCACACCATCAAGATTAGAGAAAGACCGCTGCCTTCTAGAGTCGATTGATGAGAATTTGGCAATCCGATTCTAGAATGACCTCCTCGAAATCATACCGCCTAGCTAGCTTCACAACCATCCCTATCAGCTATCGCCTTGGCCTCAACAATCTCAACTGGCCACCTCGCTTGGACTCTACGCACAGCTAAAAATAAGACCTCGCCCCTGCAGTTGCGCGCTACTACACCCAAGCCAATCCAGCCTTCCTCCCCCAAAAACGCATCTGCATTGAGATTCACAAGATGAGCTGAGGGAGGCAGCCATCTAGAGGGGCTGCTCTTACTTTTCCTCTAGGCAACTCCATATATTTTCTTGTTGTAAGCCCCGTACTCATTAGCTAGTCTTAGCATCCTCTCAAGCAGCACAACATTCGGTGTGACCTTAGCTTGCCCCCAATAAATACCTTGTTATTCAGATTATCCATGCAAGATAAGCCAAGTGTGCATCCTTCCCTTTCCATCTTTTAAGTAACTCACAAAAACTCCCGCTTGCATCTTGCAAAAGTACAATACAACCACTCTCCTCCCATAGCTCATGGACTCGGATGCAATCGAAAATGGCATGAGCACTCTTCTTATCTTCCAATCCACACCACGGGCAGACAACCTCTTTTAGCATATGTCGCTGCTTCAGCAGGTCTTTTTTTTTTTTCTTCTTTTTTTTTAAAAAAAAAAAATTAAAAAACCATGGATCGGTGAAATAATAATAATAATAATAATAATAATAATTATTATTATTATTATTTTTGTCTTGTTGATTACAATAGGTCAAGTTGTTTTTAGCTTAGGCGCGGTTCACTTGACCTTATTTTTGCTGAACTGAAATTATTTTTGCTAAACTAAAATTAATTTTATTAAACTAAAATTATTTTTACTGATTCTTTATTACATAACTCCCTAAGTTACTGAATTTTAATGATTTTTTTTTTTGTAATGAATTGAACTTATTTTTTTAAGGTCAATACTTGCCTTTCACTTGTATGACTTATTGTAGGGGGTGTTTTATTCATTTAATTTCAACTTAAAAATAAAGCGTATTAGTTTTAAATTAAACTTGAGTGACCTTACTAATTCTTAACAAAATTTATGTAATTTATTTTTCCCATACTTGAGCAATTTTGTAAGGGTAAGATTATCGTGAGTCTAAGTGTGAGTTTGGAGTGAGTCTCGAGGGATGTTTTTTATGTCAAACTTTAAATAGTTTAAAGGTGAGTTATTGATTGTTAAACTCCTTATCAAACTCTTGTCTGAGGATATATGCATGTGAATTAAAAGTGATCAACATTGGCCCGGTTTGGTAGCTCGGCCTGAAAATAAGGCGGGTTTAGGCAAGCCTAAAAATGCAGTTTTAGTTAAGAACCCGAGCCCAGCCCAAAAAAATCCGAAAAGCCTAATTTGGCCTGACAAGGGTGCTATTTTTTATTTTGCGGGTTTGGACACGAGATATGATTTTAAGGCTCGACTCGGCCCGATTTTTTGATCACCTCTAACGTGAATAACTGAAAACGGTAAAAGGACACATGCTGTTCTTCAATGAGCCCAACTACATGGTAACATATCATCAATTTCATGAATTATACACTTCAACAATGACAACTTTCATTTTTTTTAGGAAGGTAAGGATGAAGTATATAGGTATTGATATAGATTATCACAAACTTTCATATGTGGCTGCCCACAATAATCACTTCCACAACCTCCAAATCCTAATCCTCAAGACTCCCTCATCCTCTTCAGCAACCCTTCCTCCTTTCAACCCTAAACTCCACCACCTCCGTCGTCGTCTTTGCCTTCTTTGTCGCAGAAATCGCCGACCTCCGTTGTCGTCTTCGTCTTCTTTCTCGCGGAAATTGCCAGCTAAACCAACCCAGAAATCGCTGACCTCTGTCGTCGTCTTCGTCTTCTTTTTTGCATAAATCGCCGGCCAAACCAACCCAAAAATAAAATGGCTAAATGATTTTACCTTTAAACTCTTTCTTTCAATTAGTTTTGTTACTTCTTCTAACAAGCTGATCCCACCGGTATCGTTGCTATCGACGACTGCAAAGAGATGTCTAGTTGTTATACATGTGTTTTACTTTGTAAACTATATGAGAGTAATTTGTATGGATTTGGATGAATTTGATTTCGATTACAAACAAAATCATTTAGCCATTCGAAAATTAAACAAACCAAAAAATCGCCGGCGAATTGAAATTCACTTTCGTATTTTAGTTAGCGTTTCTTCTTCATCTTCTTTGTCATTTTGTTGGGATCCTGGGTTGGTTTGGTGGGATTGGAGTTAGGGTTTCTTCTTCGCTGTCTTCTTCGGCGTCATTGGAGTAGCTTAGAAGGAGATTCATTGAAGAAAAAAGAAGATGAAGAAAAGGGGTTACTTGGTCGGGAGTTACTCGGTCGGTCAGGAGTTACTTGGTCAAGGGTTACTAGGTTTAAGGGTGCTTATGAGACGAGACAACTCACGGGCCACTCAAGCTCGACTCGGTCAAAACTCGACTCGAGCTTGAGGTTGACTCGAAATGTTAATGAGTCGAGTCGAGTAGCTCAATACTCGACTTGAAAACTCGTGAGAAACACGAATTCCTTTATTTATTATTATATTTAATGAAAATAAAAATATTTTGGTTCAAAAACTTTATTTTACAATAATTATTAATATGTATATAACATTTATATACTTATATCATCACAAGTATATTATTTATAATACAAAAATAAAGAGAAGGAACAAATGTTACACTAAATAAGGGGTCTACTAAAACCGAATCAATTAGTAAGCTACTCGAGATCGACTCGGTCAAAGCTCGGTCAAAACTCGACTCGATTAAGCTTGACTCGTATCATAAGCACCCCTAATAACTAGGTCGATCAGGGGTTACTAGGTCGGGCAGGGGTTACTCGGTCAGTCAGGGGTTACTTGTGTGTTAGCTGACCACACGGTATGACTAACTATACACAAAAGTTGCTGATAGATTAAACTTATGTAAAATTTAGGTCACGGGCGTATTAAACATTGAATTTTAGTACTTAATAATATTTCCAAAAATAAACAAATGATAAACATAATAAACCCTAAGTTGAACGAAAGATGGCAAGTACTCCGTATTAAAGAAGCAAATAGTACAGTGTACATTTACTGTTTTACCCTAGATGTATGAAGTGGCCAAAACTCAAAAGTTTGGACCGTGAAGGGATCCAACATGACCTAATAACAAGTAAAAAGTTTAAACCAAAAACTTCGAGGGTTTTCCATTACATAATTGATATAGAGAGAGAGGGAAGGCAACACAACATATAGAACACAATTCAGCACTCTTCACACTCTCTATAAACCAAGCCCTCTGTTTCTCCTCTCAATTTTCTGCATCTCTCTCTAATCAGCAATCATGCACGCACCAGTTGTCGTTCTCAGTAAGCATTCTCTCTCCTCCTTAGATTTTCTCTCTCTTCCGGTTGATTTCTTCGTTGTTCACTTTACAATGTCCGTTAAACCTAAATTTACTACCAGGTTTTTATTAATTTATGTATATATTTTTAATTTGTATGTTTAAATTAGTTCGATGTTGCTGAAAAATGTGTGATTTGAATTTGTTTTGAATTAGGGTTTTGTTTAGGGTTTTTGTAAAAGAAGCGGTTTTGTTAGATTATTAGAAGATCTGATCTCATTTGTTTAATTCTGTGGATGTATTACGATTGTTACTATGAATGTTATTTTGTAGCACTGTAGTTTATTTTGGTTAATTATATAGTTTATGGGAAGGGAAGCGGTTTATATGCATTTACAGTAACGCTATGCAACTTTGTTGTTAATTAATTAATTAATGATTATATGAGCTTAATTGGTGCGATACTGCTTGAGGTAGTTACTGAAAGATGGGAACTTTTCGTATTGGGTTTTAAAATTGGTTTCAAGATCTTGTAGATGGTTTATTATATATGGTGTAATGTGGATTTGGGTTTTGTTTTTAGTTATGTGGGTATCGGGTGTATTGAATTCGGCTATTGATTTTTATTTCAGTTGCATGATATGGTGGATTGGTGGGTTCTTCAACTGAACTTTTGTAATTGGAATTTGTGAAATTGCTTTTGATTTCACTGGTTGGAAGTGTAGCTAAGTAGGATTTGCAAACATTAATCATACACAATTATAGTTGTTCTTCCAAGGTTAAGCTTAGTTTTTAAGATTGCTTTGGACCGATGATATTGGATGGAAATACTAAAGCCTGTGTGCTTAGACGTTTGCTTGCTATATTATGGGATGGTGCTGTTAGCTTTGACAATGCTAGAGCTTGAAAGCTGTAGTAATTCGTACAGGCGTATCCCTCTGAAAAAGGAAAAAATACAAGTCATATAATATTTATAAGGCTATAACCATTGCCCAATAGATATAAATAAAAAACAGTGATAAAGAGACTTGATTGTTAGGTTTGAGCGTTAGTGAATTATGGTTTTTTACTTGGTTGTTAATGTTTGGGTCTTTATCTTCCTTTTGTTGATTTATTTTCATTCGACCATAAATTGCAGAGGATTCCACAAAACGTGAAAGTGGTACCAAGGTCCATCATGCTAACATTCGAGCAGCAAAGGTAACAATCAGACTCTGTTTTCTGGTTATTGTTTTGTCTCCTTGATCCTCCACCACAAGAATTTTCGTTTTGTATTATTATGTTAGTCCTTGTCCCTAGCCTTCTGAATATTCTCAGTTGTCTGAATTTGTATCGTAAATCATTAATCTTAATGGTATGTGTGTCAAAGTGAAACACATACTTACTGCCCTATTAAGTCATGCGAGCTTTGCACTTATAATAAGAAACACTGTGATATATGTGACTAATATCTGTAGTAATAACAACGTAGTTCCTCTTAGTCTTGTGTCGGGTATAAAAGTAATTTCTTTTGACTGTTCTAACTTCGTGTTATAAGTTTTTGTAGGATCTGTCAGCAATGCAGCCCTTTTTTTTTTTTTTTTTTTTTTCGCTTCTTAAGTTTCTTGATTGTTTTGTTTGAAGGGTTTGAGTCGTTATACCTCTGATGTCTTGTTTAAAAAAAAATGATTCATGGCTTCTCAAGATATGTGTTATGTGTATTGTGACAGGCTGTTGCTGAAGTAATTCGAACGACACTGGGTCCACGTTCGATGTTAAAAATGCTCCTTGATGCTGCTGGAGGTGATATATCTTTCCCGCTTTAGTATGGGTGGAAAAGTGGATTTTTTTATCAATTAGATTACTGTCATAGTTGTTTGATTCAAATGTTGTTTCTTTATATTACCATTGCTAGCTTTGAATCTTAAGATGTATGCATAATCTTGACAGATTGAAGATGTTGAGATGTTATTGACTGCAAATATTAAGAATTTGTCTCAGTAAATGCCTTTTATTTTCATTAACCCAAAAATAATCATCTTTATTACTCTTGGGGAGGAGCGGATGAGGAAGGAGAAGAATTGCTTGGTGTCTGGATCTGCATGAGTGCATTCTTTATGTAATTAGTTCATATTTATTTCTTGTATCTTAATAGATAAATCATCAACTAGGTCATCTGTGACCCTTTATTATGTTGAAAGAAAGGTTGGAAAGTTGAATCATTTGTTGGTGTGTTTGTGTTGTTGCACCTTTGTTGTTGTTGGTGGTGGTGGTGAAGGGAGAGCATTGATATTAGAAAATTTGGTAGTGTATAGATCCTGGCATGATTCAGTAACATCCTTTTTTCTTCTGTAGTTGATTGACTCACCTTTTTGCCTTTGTATTAAGTTGCTCTTCATGCTATGTTGGTGATTGCAGGCATAGTTGTGACAAACGATGGGAACGCCATTTTACGAGAATTAGATCTTGCACACCCAGCTGCCAAGGCATGTACTCTATCTTTCATCTTTTCACCCAATTAAATAAAGGTAGAAAGTTAATGTAATGTACATTCCAGAGGACACACTTGATTCTCATTGTGTGCTGGTTGAGTCTAGGGATTAGCCATATAATGAATTGCACTAGTTTACCATTTCTTCCCCTTGTGAATTTGGTTTATTCTTATCTGGCATCTTGTGAAATTTATAATTTTCTCATGACGCTTTATTAATTTCTATCCACTAATGTATTTTCCATTGCAATAATAGTCAATGATCGAACTTAGCCGAACACAAGATGAAGAGGTAGGAGACGGAACAACTTCTGTTATTGTTCTTGGTAAGAAAAGATTCCTCCTCTCACTTTATCACTGGATTTGATTTTGGGGTATTATGGGCATACCAATGAAAGTAGTGGTTCTTATGTTCTGCTTGTGGGTTAAAGAAGTATAAGCAGAGAAGAATATTTAGTAGTCCTTCAATTGTACTTGTTGTAAAGCAAGTAGAAGTTTGAAAGATCTGAGTTTGCATATGATGTATCTACTCAGTAGATTCTACCCTGTGCTTCCCTATAAACTTTGTAATGTCTTTACCAGATTCACTTGTATTCATCAATGTTTAATTAACAATTTGGTCACAATTCTGCCTCTGCCCCTTTCCTGGTATTCCATGCATTCCTTATAGTTATGAAAAATTGATCAATTCTTGGTTGAAATTTGTGTTACAGCTGGAGAGATGCTTCATGTAGCTGAAGATTTTATTGATAAGAATTTTCATCCTACTGTTATTTGCCGAGGTATTAATTTTGCTGGTACTCTCATATATGCATTTTCTGATACAAGATTTTGTTTTGGAGCATTGAACTTAACTCTGAATATGGATGTTTCTTAGCCTATACCAAAGCTCTGGAAGATGCAATTACAGTTATTGACAAGGTCGCAATGACAATTGATGTGAAGGATCGTATGTTCCTATAACTCGTGATTTTGTGTCATTTTACATATTCTTTTGTTCTTTAACCTTTTCAATTGGTTATGATGCTTTATGCTATCTAAACGCTTGCATTGATGCAGGTGCTACTATGTTGGGACTAGTCAAAAGCTGTATCGGCACAAAGTTCACCAGCCAGTTTGGTGATCTGATTGCGGTGAGTTCTCTCCTCTCCTCTTTACCATGTTTGTTTTTTTTTTTGTTTCCTGGATTGTGGCAAAACAGCTGGTTTGTCTTAGCTGTTGCAAACAACATTCAAAGTTTCCTGATAACTCATGTCTCAACGATTATTATGGTGCGTGTGCCTGTGCGTGGACATTAGACACCTAGGTTCTTGTACTTGTGTGTAGAGTGTTAGTGGGGCCAATTTTGCTTTTCAATCATACTACCTCAGTTCAAAGATTTTTATGCTTTCCATTTTAGTTTGTGCCTGAAAGTTTCTTACACTTTACGTATTCTCTTAATACTTTTTTCAATATTTTCTTGCACTCACTCACCTTTTTATACTTTCTCTCCTACTATATCCACCTTTTTCTTACACTAACCAACCACATCAATACTTTCTCACCAATTACATTAATTTGTGTGCAAATAGTAACCATAAATAACTTTTGGGATCAGAGGTAATATTATATTGTCTCCGAGTGCCAATAGTCCATAATTTTCTTCCTACTATGAGATACATTGTTGGATAGCCAATTCTGCCTTTTTTCGGAGGGGTATGTTTGTAGCTTTCATAGCTGTTACTGGCAAGGTTATCAGGATTGGGATCCCACTTTGGATCGGTGAGAGGAGTAGGATCGAATCAAAAATCGGATCGTAGAATCATAAGATTCTACAAAATTGATAATAATAGTAATAAAAGGGTTGTTACATAATTAGATAACATTTTTTAAGCCATAAAAATGGTAAAATTTATAGTTTTAGTTGTTGGATAGTAATTTTATTAGCTTAGAGAAAAGTTTGATTACATTAGGCTCATTTTAATAAGTAAAAAGTAAGATCGTACGATCTTGACCGATCCTGCACGATTCTGTCCGATCCTGATCGATTCTGTACAAACTAATAATAGTTTAAATGAAAAACAGGATCGTCCGATCCCACCCGATCCTGTACGATCCTGTGCGATCATGAGCGATCCTACAACGATTCTGCTTACTCTGCGATTCTGCATCCGATCCGAATCGTTTGGCTAAAATGGGATTGTAGGATCGCACGATCCTACGATCCGGATCGCGATTTTGACAACGATGGTTACTGGCAAATGTGCTTATCTGATCTATATAGGAGTCTTTCTGTTTTTCTTGTTACTGTAAGTTATTGTCATCCAATCATCCATGAATTGAATATTAGTACACTGTATATTCTCATAACTTCATAGTATACCTGTTTGACTTGGAATGGAGTTAGCCTCCTATAATGGATGACCTCCTCGGTTCAAGGATGGTGTGTGGACAATGTGTTGGGAAGGTTTGTGTATGTGGAGTAGCTGTTTATTCAGCTGCAAAATCAGTATAATAGCAGGGATTCTGACTTGGTGTAGGAGTTTGTGAATTCATTGTTTTCTGTATGTGGTTCTTTTTTTTGGGTGTTTTGAGATCAATCTCCTGCAGCATGATGTCATTGTGTGGTTTCTGCTCTTGGTGAGCATTAAATACTTAATTAGGTATTAATTAGGTATTAGCATGTGTCTGCCTTGTGGTAGATGAAGCAATGAATAGAATAAATAATTGTTTTTATAGAGTTTTCCATTATTATGTCTTTAGAGGGGCGTACTTGCTCTTAAACATATATTCTGTTCTATATTCTTCTATTGTCAATTTGACATTTGTACAAACTTAGACCATTAGTTATCTCTTCATTTCTTATGGTTTTACACAATGGGGTTTGACACAAATATCAACTCTAATGTAGTCGATGGTGTGATTGTGGCTTTTTTAGGAAAAAAAGAAAAGAAATCATCCTTTTGAGTTTTGTGCTGCTTAGGGTGTCTTGGGCAATGGTTATTTTATAATCCACCTAAAAAAGGAGTGGGTAAAGAAATTTTGGATAACCATAAATCTTCATAAACGTATACTTCCTCTGCTCCATAAATCTTGCTAACATGTAGTGTTTCAAGCTCTCTTAAGACACAAATTAATTTATATATATATATATATATATAAGTGCATTTTCGAAAAAGTTATTTTTTTTAAAGTATATACTGAGACAAATCTAACAAGATCCCACACAACTAAATTGGAGTGTGTGATTAGTGTATAAGTTCAAATGTTGCAATGTTTATGGAATGTAGAAAGTAGTTTGTAGTGATTTGTAAGAAGGTTTGAGGATTGGTTGATCTGGTGAAGAAGTTGACACTGGAACTATAAAAGTAGTTTTTGTTTATTTGGTTTGGATTCTTTAAAATAAGAAGGGTCTCACGTCCATGTGGCATTCATACCTCATAGGGATCTCATTCAATCATCCTTTTACAAGTTTTTTCTTTATTGATGTTGATGAACAAAATTCATGGTTTACGAAGTGCACGTGTCATTGTTTATTTCACAATTGTTTAGTTTCTATAGTTGAACGAATAAAGGACAAACCTCTAGATACTCTAGGTATTGTTTTATTTTTATTTTTATTTTTTAATTTTTAAACTGTGCCTTACATGTCTTGTAGGATTTAGCAATTGAGGCCACAACAATAGTTGGTGTGGACCTTGGCCAAGGTCTGCGAGAGGTGGACATTAAGAAGTATATTAAAGTTGAGAAAGTGCCTGGAGGCCAATTGGAAGATTCCCAGGTGCTTAAAGGAGTGATGTTCAATAAGGATGTGGTTGCTCCTGGAAAAATGAGGCGGAAGATCCTTAACCCACGCGTCATTCTTCTTGATAGTCCTCTTGAATACAAGAAAGGTGAAAATCAAACAAATGCTGAGATAATGAAAGATGAAGACTGGGAAGTCTTGCTAAAAATGGAAGAAGAGTACATTCAGAATTTGTGTGGACAGATACTATTGCATAAACCAGATGTAGTGATCACTGAAAAAGGGCTAAGTGACTTGGCATGCCATTACTTAAGCAAGGCTGGTGTTACCGCAATTAGGAGAGTGAGAAAGACAGATAATAACAGAATTGCCAAGGCATGTGGGGCTGTCATTGTTAACAGGCCAGATGAATTGCAGGAGTCGGATGTAGGTACTGGTGCTGGGCTTTTTGAGGTCAAGAAAATTGGTGATGAGTTCTTCACATTTATTGTCGACTGCAAAGATCCAAAAGCTTGTACTGTGTTATTAAGAGGTGCTAGCAAAGATCTGTTAAACGAGGTGGAAAGAAATCTCCAGGTAACGCTATAGACTAAACTACTAAAGGCTTAATTTTGAACTAATTAAGGTATAATAGTAATTGAAATATTCCCTTGTTACAGGACGCAATGTGTGTGGCAAGAAATATCATAAAGAACCCAAAACTTGTTCCTGGAGGTGGTGCTACAGAGCTGACTGTATCAGCAGCCCTGAAGCAAAAGAGCGCATCCATCGAAGGCATAGAAAAGGTGACCCTCTCTTCCTGACTCTACTCCCTCTTTCACTTGAACACATATAAGTCTTAAATTTTATTCTACAGCCTTTTTACTGTGCGCTAAAGAAATTTTTGACATCAAACCTGGTGGCATAGCTGTGCTAATCTGGCAGTAGTTGTAATCTTTCTTACTCCTTATTGTGCAACAGTGGCCATATGAAGCAGCTGCTTTAGCCTTTGAGGCTATACCCCGAACATTGGCCCAGAATTGTGGTGTAAATGTTATAAGGACTATGACTGCCTTGCGGGGAAAGGTCAGAATTCAATAATTTTATAAAAACGTGTCCGGATTATTAGAGATATTTGTGAATGTTGATTTGATCTTTAATTGGGCAGCATGCAAATGGTGAAAATGCTTGGATTGGCATAGATGGAAACACTGGTGAAATTGCAGATATGAAAGAAAAGAAGGTATTTTTGTGTATATGTTGTATCCTCTACCCCCCCCCCCCCCCCCCCTTTTTTTTTCAATGATTGCATGTGCATCACTGCTTTGTTGTCCATCTTAGGAATTTTCTCCCATCTTTGTGTTTATTGTTGGGGTCTTGCATGCAGCATGCTACACCATTGATTTTTTTGAAACCATGTAAATGGTTCTTTTTACCATTTATCACTTTACAGGGAAATATGATTGTCAACATTGATAGAGTTGGGGTTGAGATATCCCCCCCCCCCCCTGTCAGATTAATTGAAGCTTGCGTTAGGATCAGACATTTCTCAACCTACTGCTGAATAAGAGATTTTTTTACAGTTATTTATTCATGCTATTTCATGTATTTATTTTGTCAGATATGGGATTCATACTCAGTAAAGGCTCAGACTTTCAAGACGGCCATAGAAGCAGCCTGCATGCTTCTAAGGATAGATGATATCGTTAGTGGCATCAAGAAGCAGCAGGCTCCTGGAGCACAAGCTCCCTCTAAACCAACTGTTGAGCAGGCTGATGATGCAGACAATGAACAAATGATTCCAGAGTGATTAAGTTAGGATGAAGTGCTGAACTTTATTATCACTTTTGCCCCTGGGATCATGTCACCTGAGTATGGACTTTCTAACCAGAGTGAAATTATTTGATATGATGCTCGGTGGAAGGTTCATCGAACCTCGTGGGTGTAAACTGATCCCTCTTTGTATGTCTTTTGTTTCTTTTCATTTATTTTTGTTGAGTTTTTCGTGTAACTTAGCCATGGAAAGGTAGCCCATTTACTTTTAACTGCTGTATTTTTTGTAGCGGAATTGTTTTCAGAATCAGTCTCTCAGCAAATCTTTTCATTGAATTTGCAAGAGCTTTCTCATACGGATGCCCAATATTGCTTATATGCAGCTTATGAGGCAAAGGTTTTGAATTAGTCAGATGTTTTTAAGAGATGATTTCTGTTTGTAGTCTATAACCAATGTCCTCACTTCTTATTTATCCGGGTTGGAAATTCTATTTACCGTAGTACAGTTTCTTTAATCCAGGCGTCTCCATTGTTGCAAACTTGCAATTGACTAGCAACTTTTCTAAAAGGAATACGTCCTGATTAGAACTGATTAGAACAATGAACGAAGGACATGTGTTGAAAGTTATCTGTCATTGCATGATATCCCCACCTCTTTGAATTCCATTCAAAAAGGCATCAAGCAATAAATCTCAACCTCCTTAATGTTTAAACATGAGTACAAGACCCGTATCTGTTTTTATGGAAATAATATTGATCCATATCATGTGGTTTGAGTTAAAAGTTTTTTTGAAATTTCTTTTAAGGCTCAATTTTTGTACTTTGTTACCCTTTAGATAACAGCGAAGTGATTCCATTCTATCCTATACGTCAATTTTTGGTTGTACTTGTTGAAATGCGATGTTTGCGGAGTCTTCAACACATACATAATGAGAAAATGATGCATATTAATTTTACGGTATAATTATTTTTTACTCCATTCGTTTTTAAATATTTGCTTCATTTCTCCATGTGCGGAATTTTAGAATAAATTGGAGAAAATAATAAAATATGGAGGTAGTGGGGTAGTGGGGTAGATGGAAGAATAAAAAATTGTAAAAAGCAAAAGTAGTTGAAAGAATTGGAAGAGAGAAAATATAAAATTAATAAAATATGATTTATGTTCAGTCCACTAGTTGAGAAAAATGAATTTAAATATTGTAAAAACTTTCCAAATAAGGAAGTGGAGCAAGTATTTAAAAACGGTTAGAAATAAAAGGTGGAACAAGTATTTATAAACGAAGGGAGTAAGGCCCTGTTCTTTTAAGCTGTTCTGCTTTGCTTTGCTCTACTAAGTCCTGCTCTGCTGAAATTTGCGCTGCTCGGCTTAAAAATGATAATTAATAATAGGAATAATAATAATAATAATAATTAATATTTAATAATAATAATAATAATAGTTAATATTTAATATTTAATAATAGTAATATTTAATAATAATAATTAACATTTAATAACAATAATAATAATAATAATGATAATAATAATAATAATAACAATAACAATAATAATAACAACAATAATAACAATAATAATAATAATAATAATAATAATAATGCCTCTACTCTACTCTGCCCAGAAGCTCAAAAGAACAGGGCCTAATATTTAGCTAAATCTTGAGTGGTTCATGTAAACTAATTCCTTATATTCTTATTTGCGTTGGTTTTAAAAAAATATTTCTTTTGTACCGTCCATGTAGGATGGTGGACGCTTTTTTTATTTTTTTTTATTTATTTATTATTATTATTATTATTTATAAAAAATAAATAAATTTATTAGAGACTAAGAATTGCCAATAACAATAACAGTCATCTGAACTAAACCACAAACGTAACTAGCGGTACAATGAGCGGTTTATTTCATAAAACCACTATTGTTATTAACGGTTTTCATTTAACATTTTTTCACATATAATTGCTCAAACAGTACTATTTGAAGTCTTTTCGAACTTTATAATGCTCCAATCCTTTAGAACCTCTAATCCGTTAGAGGTTTTATATATGGAACCGTTAGAGGTTTTATCTGGATTAAAACCGTTTTAAAAATTAAAAAATAAAATAAACAAAGCTATTTTTATTTTTTTATTTTGAACAAAAGAATAATAATATGTGGACATATGCACGGAATTAGTTTTTAAACCGAAGTATATAAAAAATTAATTTATTTTTTTAACATTATTTGTGGAAATCGATATTGCTCCTAATCTTAGATGAATACATTAATGTTAAGAGAAATATAAATACCATGAATACATACATATTAAAAACATGATACTTGTTTTAGAAATAATTTATGTCCTTCTTAGCTAGACACTTTCTCTATTTTATACGCGTATTAATCGCCACATTAAAATTCCGATACATTATTGTTTGTGACTTTAAAAGGCTATATAAAAGGGAGAAAGTATTGGGTGCGGACAGTTGCACGCAAATTTGGTGCGGCTGGCTTGGCTGATATATTTTACTTATTGGCTGATATGTTTTATTTGTTGGCTGATATGTTTCATTTGTTGGCTGATATGATTTTTGTGTTGGCTAATATATTTTTTTGTTGGCTGATATGTTTCTTTAGTTAGCTGATATCTTTATTTTGTTGGTTGATATGTATATTTTAATTGTTGGCTAATATGTTTCATTGTATTGGCTGATGTGTTTATTTTGTTGGCTTACCTGTTGCTTTTGTTTGCCGATTTCATCCCTTTGTTGGCTGATATGCTTCATTTGTTAACTGATATGTTCCTTCTGTTGACTGATATGTTCCATTTGTTGGCTGATAAGTTTCTTGTGTTGATTAATACGTTTTTATTAATATCTCATATGTCCCTAATATTGACTGATATCATACATCAATTGGCTGATATGCTTTAATTGTTGGCTTATATGATACTACTATAGTTTTATTCCTTCTCTCTCCTCTTTCCCCCCTCTTCCTCTCTTTCTTTCTCACGCCAACGCCCAACAAGGCAACAACCCACACCTTAACCTCACTCACCCTAACCCACGACCCTAACCCACCAGCCACCACCCTAACCTCACGCAACAAGCCACCACCCTAACCTCACGCCACCATCAACCCCTTCAATACTCTATTTATCGTCAAATTGAAACACCGATTCGACGATCTGGCTTTCGAACAATGAAATTAACAGTCCAGCCACCCCTCGCCACGCCGTTTTTTTCCACCGCCCTTCAAGCCTACGCCAGGTCGCCACCCACAAATCCTCAACCACCCATTCGCACGCACTGCAAATCGAACCCATTGTCTTTCCTCGCTGAATCCGACGTCACCCACCCACCACCACCTTCATCTTAAGTCGAAGACCCACCACCACCACCTCTGCCTTAAGCCGCCGCCGCCGCGCCATTAGCACCACCAATTTTAAGTTATTTTGCTTTGTTTCGATTTAGGGTTATTTCCAACGCCGCTGCCGCGCGAACTGTTGGGTGCGAACGTCCGCACCCAATAGTTTGTGTATAAAAGGGTAGTATTGGTTAGATTTGAATATGTATACAATTAGGATGGATTTATTCATTATTTAAAAAAGACATCCTAATATTTTGAAAACCAACAACGAGGTGCTTGCCGCAGTCCATACAGAGATTTCTAAAGACGGCAAACCATGCCAGATTGAGAACCACGAAACCCGGGAGGAGGCTTCATATAAACCTCCTCATCAAGATCGCCATTTAGAAAAGCATTGTGGACATCCATTTGGTGTAATTCCCAATTTTTCGCAGCAGCAACAAGAATCGCACGAACAATAACCATTTTAGCAATGGGAGCAAATGTCTCGTTATAATCAATACCCTCAACCTGATGGTTACCAAAAATCACGAGATGAGCCTTCAATTTTTCAATCGAGCCATCTGAGTTAAGCTTAACCTTGTAAATCCATCGGCATCCAAGAGCTTTCTTACCCAGAGGTAATTTTTTCATCACCCATGTACCATTATTTTCCAAGGCGGATATTTCGTTTTGCATCGCCTATCTCCACCCCTCATCTTGATAGCCTCCTTGAAATTACGTGGCTCAACCACCGTGTCGACAGCTGCAATAAATACACGGTGTCGCATAGAAAATTTATCACAATTCACAAAATGTGCTAGAGGATAGGGAGTACCTGAGGAGCATGGAGTAGACGATGAACGTTGAGAGATAGATGGACCGGGGAGAGAAAAATATGTGCCACATAATCACGGTGCCAGCCAGAGGATGCCTTGGACGTTGACCACGTCCCAACTCAAGAGTAGAAGAGCTCGGATCATCCCCTGTGCTGCTGCCCGTACCGCTAGCAGGAGCTGCGGCAGTAGATACAACAGGTGAGCTGCGTCAGCACTGGTCGCTACAGGGGTGTCGCGGACCAGGCTGTCACCAACATCGAGAAGCGGGGTAGCAGCAGGTGGGGTAGCAGCAGACGAGGTAGCAGGGGTAGCAGCAGATGTAGAGGTAGCAGTAGGACTCGAGTTAGGGGTGTCAAGCAAGGTGCGGTCACTGCTGTCTCGTGAACCCAGCTCAGTAGAGGTTTCACCAACCTCAAGCACATGCTCAAGATCATCCAAGAAATCAAAGTCAATCCCACCATTAACATTAGATACTCCTTCGACACTTACATGAGAATGTGTCGAGTCACTAAGCTATTAGTCACAAATGGGAATTCATTTTCATGAAATTTAACATCACAAGAGACAAAAATATCACCCATTTCTAAGTCATACAACCTCCTACCCTTCTTACTATGAGGATAACCCACAAACACACACTTTCGACTTCGAGGAACAAATTTGTCACCCTTAGATTTTTTATTATGAGCAAAATAGAGACACCTAAACACCCGTAATTCATCAAAATTATGTTGTTTGCCAAAAATAATTTCATATGGGGTTTTATTAGCTAGCAAGCGGGATGTAATTAATCAAAAAAATCGCCCCAAGGACACAGTCTCCCCAAAAAGTAATTGGCAAATTGCCTTGGAACATCAAAGCACGACTAACATTTAGGATATATTGGTGTTTACGCTCTACCCGACCATTTTGTTGAGGTGCACCAATACAAGAAGTTTGAAAAACAATGCCATGTTCATTAAAATAGGGTAGCATGGATTTGAACTCCGTACCATTATCACTCCGTACACATTTCACAGTGACATCAAATTGACATTTTATCATAGAAAGATAGAACAAAAAAACGAATAAACTTCAGTTTTTTCATTCAATAAATAAACCCAAACACCTCTAGAATAGTCATCAACAATAGTAAAAAAATACTGAGCACCACAAGTAGAAGGTGTCTTATACGAACCCCATAAATCACAATGTATCATTTCAAAAATACGACTAGCTCTACTATCACTATCAGGGAAACTATCCCGTGATTGTTTAGCTTGAGGACAAATTTCACAAGCTTGATTCAAAAATTTACTACTAGAACTAGCACTAATAGCAGGCACTAACTT